ATTATATTGATTGAATTTACATTCGTTGCTATGACTTAATGGACCTGACATGATCAAATTGATTATATTGGTTTTGGCTATAGGATATAGACTGATGGCTCGGTTTCGGTTCTTATTTTTTGGTTTCAATTATTATCGAGTTAGGACTTGTTCTCCCTTGTCCTAAACTGATTTAGAGCCAACCCGAGCTATATATATAATGTATAATATTTTCAGTAGGTTTATTATTATAAGGTGATGGACTTGAGAATCGGTTTGTTTGGTTTTGCATCTAAAATTATGAACACGACAACACTACTAATCACCTAAAGTGAAATGATTCCAGCTCAATTTTTATTTTTTGGAACAAAAAGCAAAATAATCCTAAACTTTGTCTTAAAGATTTTGTTTCTTTTTATTTTCTATCAAACTAGATACTGTTAGGGGTAGATCTTATGGGATTGGTTCACCTAGAGGTGTAAAATGGGCATGGCCACTTATAGTGATGGGCCGTGTTAGGTGCAATACGACTACGGGTGTAAACGAATCGAATTAGGCAATATCCAAATTCGAATCCGATTAGAAATTTTGATTCGATATCTGACGGGTATTAAAAATTAATATTCGAATTAGAATTTGATATGATTAAATATTCGAATATTCGATTCGACTCAAATTCGATCAATTAATTATTTTAGGTAACTAATAAATATATAAAATAAATATTTTATTTATATAAAGTATATAAATTATTTATATAATTTAATTATTATATATATAAATTATATAAAGCGTTTAAATATTTTATATATTATATATAAGAATTAAATAATTAATTGAATTTGGATATTTATCGAATCGAATAAGGTCATATCCAAATTCGAATATGATTAGTTAATCGGTATGAATAGGATATCTGAATTCGACTGATTATGATATTCAAATTATCCAAATTCGATTCAATTATGTCGAATCTCAAATTCGAAATCAGATTTTTGAATACTATTGATACCCCTAAGTATGACCCTGAGGGGCTGGACTGAGCTGAGTGTTTATAGCCTATATGCTGTGTTGGTCCATGACTCGTGAGGGCTTGTGTTAGTAGGGCTGGGATTGCAACATAATCCACATATTTAATAATTACATATATAATTATTATATTATTAAATAATAATATATTAATATGTATACATAATATATGCATATAATTTTTTATTTCTATTTTCAATTTGATTATACTATTTTGTTTCAACTTTATTACAATTTTTCAGTTTAATTTAATCATTTTATTGTATGAATTGATTATTCATTTCGAATAAAATTCTAACTTTTTCTTTCAATTTGTTCTTGCTATAATTTTCCTTCAATTTCTTCTTAGTTTTTTATAATTCTATAATCATTTTAGTAAAAAATAGAAAAAAAGAAAAATGAAATATTGCAGGCTAGATGATCCCAAGATTGTGCTAGGTAGGGGTGGAAATGAATCGAGCTTTTCACGAACTATTCAAGCTCGGCTCATGAAAAGCTCAATTTGGCTCGATTTAAACCAAGCTTCGAGCCTAGTGAAGCTCGGTTTATGAGGATCATGAGCCTAATTGAACTATATATATAATTTTTATTATATACATACATAAATATATAATTTTTATAATTCTTAATGTTTGTATGTAAAATAAAAACAATTTTTTATACGTACATTTTTTATTTTTATATGTTTAATAATAAATAATTTTTTATAATTATTAATTTGTGTATTTAAAATAAAAAAATAATTTTATATGTTTAATTTTTGTTTTTTATAGGAAGCTTGGCTTGTAGTCGAGCTCAAGCCAAGCCCAATTCAATCTTATGAGCTTTTGAGCCGACCCGAATTGAGCTCAAGTCTCTAGCTCAAGCCCAGCTCAAACCTAACATTGTTTGGGTGAGTGGAGCTCGAATAGTCAGGTATTCAGCTCGGCTTGGCTCGAATCCACCCCTTAGCCCTTATTGCTAGGCCCCATCCACAATAAAGTAACAGTATCGGCCCGACCCAGTCCACTACAGTGCGGGCGGTCGACAAAAGTGGGTCGTGCTGGGTGAGAAATGCAGAAGTAGAACTGTTGGATCTGGTCCGGTCTAGTTGTTTTCGTTAAAAATTCGAAGGGTCCCATAGACACCTCACAGGGTCACACCTGTATCAAAAATATATACTACTTTAAAAAGCACAAATGGCCTCAAGAATATTTCTAGAATTTTTTTAGGACAAAATTTACCCCTTTACATTTAAATTTATTGATAAAAAGTGAGGGCAAATAGGGTAATCGATTATTGATATTAAATGAGTTGAAAAGAGGTAATATTATGATATTCAATGCAGCCAATTCTCTCTTAATAAATCCAATATTTAATTTATTAACTTGCATTCATGTTCAATGAATCTTATATTTAAGTTATTTTTGTTTATTCTCATCATTAAGTTCAATTAATTAAATCCATACTTAATAAATTAATAATTCCAATAACATAAAAACTTATACTTTTAAAATCTACCTAGAAAAAATAGAGTTTTCATCTAGGTGGTGGTAATAAATTAAACTGTTTTTGGTCAAATGGGTTAATCCATGTTGCCACAATTAAATAAAAAATTCAAAAAAAATAGATAAAATAAAAAAATGGAAACATTTTTAACATACATATTAAACAATAATAAGTATGATAAATAAAAAATGTTTTTATTAATGATGGAAATTGAATGTAAAATTTAAAACCAATTGAAAATAAAAATATTTTCCTATTCTCTCTCATTAAATCCTATATTTAAGATATATTTTTCTCATCATAAAATTCTTGTAATTAAATCCACAATATTAATTTAAATAGTATAAAAATAAATGTTTTGAAAAGTAATTTGAAAACAATACCATTTTCTTCCCTCCCTTTGGTGGGCAAGAAATTCAATTATTTGGGGTCAAATGGATTAATAAATAATTCCATAATTAAATAATAAAAAGTTTAAAATAAATAAGTATAAAATGTAATAAGTATTTTTATTAATGATGAAAATGGAATACGAAATTTAAAATTTACCAAGAAATGAAATGATGTTATAGTCAAATAATAAAATTTCTAAAAATAAAAATACAAAGAATCACTAAAATAAAAAAAAGATAGAGAAATTTTTGGGCACATATCTAATGTTATATATTTATAAAAAATAAAATATTGGGTACATCTCTAATATTATGCATTCATTATATTGAACAAAAATAAGTATTATACATAAGAAAAAAAATTTTAAGTGATGGAAATGTAATACAAAATTTAATGTCAACCTAGAAATCAAACTATTTTTCTTTTTGGATGGTGGGTTAGTGATTTGGGTCAAATGATATCATAGACAAACAAAAATTAAGTATGATAAGTAAAAATTATTTATATAATGTAAATGAAATGTAATTTAAAGGGAAAATTATAGTCAAATCCGGTTATACATTTAAAATTAGGTTGTAGGTTTGTCCAAAAACCAACAAAACTTTGACAGCCGACTCTACATTTCAAATTGTAAAAAACCCTACCATGTCATCAGAGCCTTATGTGGTTGTTGGCAACATGGGACTCTTAATCCATGTTGGACACAAAAAAAAACCTATTCTGAAAATAGGTTTTCAATTTCTCTCTTACTCCCTCTATCTCTCGATCTCCCCCCATTCTCTCTCACTCTCGCAGTCATCTCTCGATCTCTCACTCTCTTAGCTTTAGTATGTAGCCAAATCAAAAGTTCAATCTCTCTTTCTCTCTCTCTCTCTCTTTCTCACTATTCTTTCTTACTCCCCATCTTGGTTAATATTTCCTTCTCCCTCAGTCTTTCTCCCGCTACCTCTCTCATTTTTTTTTTCTTACAAACTTTTATAATATTAATCAAACCGTATAAAAGAACTAAAGGGACCAATTACTTGTACAATCAAGTTATAAATTTCTATCAAATTGGTGTAAATTTCATAGCCAATAGTTTTTTAGAACTTTTATCAAATTGGTGTAATGAATTTTGAACTATACCAAGTTTGGTCTTATGTTCTTTTATACGGTCTGATTATTACCATATAAGTGTGTAAGAAAATAAAAAAAAAAGAACAAGAGAATGAGTGTGCGAGAAACTAAGGGAGAATGATAGAAATTATAAGTGAAGGAGAGATTAACCGAGAAAGAGAAAGAGAGATTGGGAGAGAACGATAGGTAGAGAAAGAATGAGAAAAATTGATAGAGAAAATGTAAATACAAAAACCAAAAATCATTTTTATTTATTTTCAAACCACACAATCATTGAGCAGAGAGAGAGATAATTCTGAGAATGAGAGTGTGTGTGTGTGTGTGTGTGTGAGAGAGAGAGAGAGAGGGTGAGCGAGAGAAACTAAAAACCATTTTCTTATTTTCAGTATAAGCCTTTTGTTGTGTCCAACATGGATCAAGAGCCCCATGTTGACAATAGCCACATAAGCCTTTGATGACATGGCAATGTTTTTTTATAATTTGAAAAGTAGAGTCTATTGTCAGAGTTTTGTTGATTTCTACACTAACTTGTAGCTTAATTTTAAATGTATAGTCAGTTCTGACTATAATTTTTCCTAATTTAAAACTAATCTGAAAGTAAAGTTATTTTCTTTTCTAAATGGTGGATTAATGATCCAAATTTTCTAAGAATCCCATGATGTCATAATTGAATAATAAATATTTAATAAAGAATAGAACACCAAAAAAATGAAAATATACATAATTTTGTCAAGAAAATTTGAGAACATTTTTAATGTTATATATTCATCATATTAAATAAAAATAATTATTAAAATAAAAAATATTTTTATTTATGATAAAAATGAAACACAAAATATAATAATAATAATAATAATAATAATTTGGTACAAACATTTAAGTTTATTTTTAAGTATATTGTTAATTTTCAAATAATTAATATGAAAAAAATTCCTCACGTGCAACGTATCATTAATTACTACTAAGAGGCAAAAATACGGTGCAGGGGAGGGAATTATTTTAATGTAACGTGGTTCAGCGATGTGCTTCTAGTTTCTTCTGTAATTAAAGTCGTCTCCGTCGTTTCTTCCTCCCTTCTGCGACGAGGAAAACCCCTGAAACCGTCTCAAGAAATTCATAGACAGAGAAAGTAAAGATTGAGGCAGGGAGAGAGCCGACAAAGAGACGAAGGTGGGAGGAGGAAAGAATGCCCCCGACTGCGGTCGCTGTCGAGGCGATCAGTGCGGCGGCCAAACAAGCTGAGCAACTTAGGAAAGACGGCAATACTTACTTCAAGAAAGATCGTTTCGGAGCCGCCATCGATGCTTATACTGAGGTGCCTTTTCATTTTTTATCTTGTTTAATTATTATTAACCAGTCGGATTAAATCATTTCTTGTCGCGCCTATGACTGTTATTCTAGCTTTCCCCAAATCCATTAATCATGTTCTCATTCTTTGGCATTATTTCGTGTCTTTTCCATGAATTTGTATGTCTTATATAACATTCTATGGTTTTTTGGTTAATTTATTTATATTTTTTTGGTATTTTTTCTCCTCCTTATTTGAACCTGTCATAATCTGTTTCGGGTTTTAAATTTGGAATTCATTTTTTTATTGTTCTTTGATTTTTCAGGCCATTACTCTTTGCCCAAATGTGCCGATATATTGGACGAACCGTGCGCTTTGTCATCGGAAGCGGAAGTTTGTGTTAATTAATATGACTCATCCTTTTTAATTTTCTATGTTTCTTTCTGATCTTCGTGATGGTAATTTTGTTTTGTTTTGATTCCAACCTCCCAAATACCGCAATGTTTTGGTAGCGATTGGCTGAAGGTCGAAGAAGATTGCAGGAGAGCCATTCAGCTTGATCATAGCTCGGTCAAGGTTCCAATCCTTTTCTTGTTTCTTTTTCATTCTTTGGTTCATTATATTGGTTTATGATGGCTTGGTCGATTTTAAGTAGCTTTATTTTACTTGTCTGCATTGTGTCTTGGTGAACAGTGAACTTCTTCTGTTATAACTTAGAAGCCCACTGATTCATGCAGAATTGATGTTGTTTTCTAATGCTGACATTTATGTAATTAGCACCAGAAGACTTGAACTTTTCATATCCCTTCTTCGATGCACTCTAAACATGTGCCGAAATCTGTAAAAGACAACTCCTTCAATAACTCTTCTTTTATTAACTCTTCCATTAATCCATTCTTTCTTTTGAGATGTGACCCCAATACTTATACCATAACATTTGGCAAATTTTCATTAACCATGCACCATTTTGCTGTCAGTGGCATTATATGCATTCATTGATGAAAGAGATTAAGCATATGTAGTATCAAGATTTAATTTAGGGAAAATTCCACTTTAGTACCCTGAACTTTTTGGGTAGTGTCAAGTTAGTACCCGAACTTTCAAGCGTGTCAAGTTGGTCCCTGCCATTAACTGACCGTCAGTTATCTGTTGAAAATGTCAAAACTACCCTTCAAAAGATTGTCTTCTACCTTGAGATTGAAAAGGTTATCTTCAAAGAAAAAGAGAAAAAATATGAAATATGATGGAGGGAAACAATAACTAAAAGCAAGGAAATAACTAGACAAGAATGTGTTTCAGATCTAAAGGTAGAAGACAATGACTTCATTAGTCTAGAATCTCAAACACCTCAACTGGTTCAGTCTCAAGGTAGAAGACAATGAACAATGTCTTCTTTTGAAGGGTAGTTTTGGCATTTTCAACAGATAACTGACGGTTGATTAACGGCAGGGACCAACTTGACACTTTTTAAAAGTTTAGGTACTGCAGTGACATGTTTGAAAGTTTGGGTACTAACTTGACACTACCCCCAAGGTTCAGGGTACTAAAGTGGAATGTTCCCTTTAATTTATAGAGTCCATCACATAAAGTGCCAATGCCAATAATACAAGATTTTATTTTTCACTTGCTTTTCATTAATTTAATCAGAAATCAGAACATGCTTTAACTTGTAATATGTAGAATGTAGGTACTGTTTATGGAAATCAAACTCTTAGTAGGTCTCATTCTATTATGATTCATATAAGTTTGTCCATTTTATTGTTTTGTAACAAATGCCTGCCTGGGTCATGTAAGCATACATATTTTGTGTTGTATGATCCTTGGACCTTGTAATAGTTCTACTTCTATTGACAGTTTGCCTCATCCTACATGTGGTGATTTTTTTTTGTTATTTTTCTAATTGCTTTCTACACATCTTCTCTTTTCTTTGAAAGTCGGTGCTTGGAACATGTTAATTATTTGCTTCCTGAAAAATATGATGTGATCTGCATAAGCCATTGAGTTTTGCATATGTTTTCATGCTTGTATACAAGGCTCACTATATGATGGGACTTGCATTATTACAAAGGGAAGAATATGCTGAAGGAGTCAAGGAATTGGAGAAGGTACCAATATCTTTTTGTAAAATTCTTTATTTTTAATTTTTTTGGTATTAGTTCTGATGCTTATTGGCTCTGCTATCCATTTTATACTTATATGTTTTAATCCTTTCTTCTTTGTTCTTTTCCATTTTTATTTGTTTTTATCACCCCTGATGTTATAAGATTGGTTCTGTGGTGGTGTTTCCTTTTTTTTGAAGATAAAATAAACTTTATTAAAGAAAAACAGAAGAGTACAAGAAAGGTGACAAGTAGTCACCTGAAAGAAGAGCAATTCAAAGTCCAAAAAACAATCTGACCCAATCCAGCAAACACTAAACCCACACACCCAAACCTCACCTTAAATGAACAAACAAAGAAGAAAGCCAAGGCTTGAAAACCAGCCCCCCCTTAATCGTCAACTACCTATTTCAGAAACAAGACAATGCCCACCCAAACCAAAAAAATAAAATGACACTTCCTGACCTTTCCACACCTGGAATCCCTATAATTAATTTTAGGCTTTAGGGAAGGCTTGGCATTGGATATGTTGCTTCTCCTAGGGATTTGGAGCTCGTTCAATGAGACCTAACTAGAGAAACTGGGTATCAGCTGTAGGGTAGCTTCAACATAGCTTTGAGGTGGTTGAAGATTGATAGAAGGAACAAAAATTGGGAGAAGATTGATATAGCTTGAATATTAGTGGAAGTTGAAGATGTAGAAGATATTCCAAGGTCTGTGGAGTTGATTTTTGTAGGGGAGACTTACATTTTGAATCGGTCGTAGAAGGAGAGGACTTGATGTTTTGGAGGGCGAAGAATTTCTCCACCTCTTCCAAGGACTGCTCAGATCTCAGCTTGATGGTGGCGATGGTCTGCACTGCAGGATAGAGACTTTTCCTACTGATGAGGCCTCTGTTGGGAAGATGAAGGGTTGCCCTGAGGTTGAAGACAATGAAACAGAAAGGGCGGAGTGTAAAGAAGTAATTTCCATTATAGGGGCTGAACTGGTTCCTTTTAATAAATGGCAGGGGAACGATGTGGCAGAGAGAGAGGAGAAGCCGAAGAGTCAGTAGTCAGTTTGTTGGAGGAACATGTTATTCCCTTTTCAACTTTCGAAGGGACAAAAAGGCCTATTGGGGTCCACACTACTCTGAAGGAGATAAGTGTGTGTAATGGGATTAGACACGTAGAAGGAACTATTGGAAAAGATGTGGGGATATGCAAATTAAGGGAAAAGTTATTAGCTGTTCCTTTTGATTCAATACACTTGAAGGAAGCTGTTGGTAGTGGGAGAGAGAATCACTCGCAATTTTCAAGAAATAGGAGCCCCAAAATTAATACGGGGCACAAATTCCTTAAGGAAAATAAGGGGGAAGGCACAAAGTTTAAACAAAGGAACAGGAAAAGTTTGTTCCCAAGTTATAAAAGTGGCTCACCCAATGATTGGATTTGGGTCATTACCAAGTTTGAGACCCAAAAAAGTGGTTGCGAACAATGAGGTTGAGGTGGCTCTCTCCGGTCTTGAGAGGCTTCCTAGTTCTGAAGCTGGTAATGCTAGCATAGTTCAAGGGGCGCAGGGAGAAGGAAGACCAGAGTGGGCAGGCATAAAGTCAGTGAACCATTCAGGTATGTCTATTCTTTTTAGTGCTTTTGAAGTTGTGGTAACTCCTAATGAGGTGCAAGGAATGGGGTGGTATCTGCTGACCAAAGTTTGGGACAATGTGAGGGAGAAAAGTGTGTAAGAATGTAAGCTGGGGGGAAGAAAAGAAAGGAAAATTAAGAGGGGGAGAAAGGAGCAAGAAGGAGGAAGGAGGAAAGGGAAGAAGTGGGTGGTAGTTAGGTTAGGTTTACAGAGGCCTGCAATTCAGGGGAGAAGGGTACAGGAGAGAGCGCCGGTATGGACATTAGCGATAATCTTCTTAGAATTGATATCCAAGTTGGCAAACTTGGAGTGGACCTAGGTCGGAAGAGATTGGTGAACAATGATGGGGATGAAGGGGGGTTGGCATTGGCAAAAAAGGTCAAAGAATCAGGCAAGTTCCAAATTGCTCATGTTTCAAAATTTTTTTCAAGACTAGAAGACGATTTGATTGGCGCTGGTCCTACAAACAAGTTAAAGAGAGTTTACAGGAAACGTGGGCCTAGGCTCAAAGGCACAAAGAAGAAGCTCGGTGAGAAGGGGGACACTGAGCCTCAAACTTTAGAGGGATGTGACGATTGGAAAAGTTTAGGCTTATTTTTCTTTGGAGGAGAAGAGTTTGCTTAAAAGGGCTTTTGAAGTTTTTGAAAGAAGTAAGAGAGTAGAAAGCCTCAAAAAGCCTACTGTTGATGAAGGTGGAGAGGCATGGTATGAAGATCGGGATGGGCAAGATGAAGATTTTGATCGCAAAGATTAAATTTGTCTTGGTTGGGGTTCTTTCTGGTATTTTTTTTTTGAGTTGTAATGTCTAATTTGCTGTTATGTTTGTGTGGTTAGGTGTTATCTTAACACCTATCCTGGTGCTTGTAAGCTTTTTATTTTTATTTTTAATGAATTTTCTTTTTAATCTTCAAAAAATAAAAAAATAAAACATAGCTTTGAGGTGGTTCGGGGATGCATTTAGGGTTGGATGATTTATCCTAGGGACGGAAGCATCTTTCTTCCTTTAGGAGAGATCTTGTAGCCAACAGGGCAACAAGAATGAAGGACAATGTAGCAATATGGCTTTCATCATGATATACTTTTTTTTTATCAATAACTTTGAAAATTTCATTAATTAAGATGCTTTAATATACAATAAGAAGTTACAAAGAAATCAGCATAGAAGCTGACCCAGGACAGAATTACAAATGTGCTCAAAACATATATGTTCTTTGAACCCCTTGCTTTGCTAAGCTATCAGCCAAGCTGTTGGCCAACCTCCTAATCCAACCCACCTGAATAGACATATTTCTTGACATCCATTTGAACCTTCTGAAATCATTCTTCAGATGCCAGGTCACTCCTTCCCCTTTTTGCAACCATTTTATCACAGTTTTTGAGTCTCCCTCGATGATCAGTCTTTTAATCCCCAGCTCTTTGGCCTTCTCAACCCCATATACTGCACCTAGAAACTCTGCCCTAGCTACATCACCCTCCTCCACAGGACCGGAGAATAAAGCAATAATGGAACCATTTTCATTTCTAATGGCCCCCCCAATACCTGAAGGGGCCTGGGTTACCCACACAACTCCCATCGAAATTCAGCTTCTTCCAACCCTTTGTTGGAGGGGACYAGGTCTCACAAACCTGTCGCCTCATAGTTGATGAAGCAGTAACAAGTTCCCAAACCCTGAAGAAGTCTTCAACTTTAAAATCTGAAAACTGCTTTAAACTTTTTACCCAATGTGCCACCCTCAATGTTATTGTTTCCACTAAAGCCTCCTTGCATTTTTCTTTACTTCCAAATATTCTATCATTTCTTTCCTCACAAATGATCCAACGTATTGCTGCTCTAGTGCACCTCCAAAGAATCCTTCCCCTCCTTGTCTTACCACTGCAACCATTAGGGTTGAATACCTTCCAACCAGTCAGGAGAAGACCACCTGCACCCAAAAAGGGAATTAAACCAATTCCAAATAAAACTGACAAAAGGGCATGATAAAAGAAGGTGGATAGCAGTCTCACCATTCAACTTACATAGGACACACCAGTTAGGGGACAAGCACCAATTTGGCCTTTTCCTTTGAAGTACATCAAAGGTATTAATACAACCATGAAAGACTTCCCAACAAAAAGCACTGATTTTAGGGGGAATAGGATGGCACCAAATTTCTTTGACTGGAAACTGAAGAGAAGACTGTGGCAACCATTGAATGAAGAAAGGATTTACAAGAAAAAGATCCATCAGAGTTAGGACCCCAAATTCTAGAATCTGACCCACCTTCCCCAAGAAAACTGAATTCAGCAATCCTAACAACTCAGAGACTGCAAGCAGTTCAAACTCTCTGAGATTCATATTAAAACCAAGGTTCCAATTTAATCCTGGAAGGTGAGAATGATGGTTTGCGAAATCAGAAATAGGCTTACCCTTGAACCTAGACAGATCACAAAGAGAAGGAAATTTCTCCCCCAATCCACAAATCCTCCCAGAATTTGATTTTACTACCAGAATACAAATCATACTTGATAAAATTAAGGAACATAGGGAGGACATCATGGATGCCCTTCCAGGGAGCAGCCAAGTTAGCCCTACGTAGACAGCCAACATCCTATCCGTTGCACGACATGCCATGAATGCTTGCAACTACTTTGTGCCATAATTTCTCATTTTCATTTGGAAACCTCCAGAGCCATTTGCCCAACAAAGCCTGATTCTTCATTCTAACATTACCAATTCCCAAACCCCCTTCCTCTTTCAGTTTACTCACCTTCTCCCATCTAACCAAATGATCCTTCTTTTTTTCCTCTGGCTCCCATAGAAAATTCCTCATGGTTTTTTCAACTTTCCTCACTATCCTTTGTGGCATCCTAAACACTGACATATAGTCACTGGGAGATTTGCTAAAGTGGATTTAATTAGGGTTATTCTCCACCCCAATGAGATATAATTTCTTTTCCACGCCACCAATCGTTTCTCTATCCTTTCCACCACCGGAGACCAAAAACTAGCAGATCTAGGATCATCTCCAAAGGGTAAACCCAAGTATTTCATTGGCCACTCACCTTTCTCACAACCTAGGGAACTTGCCAGAAATCTCACTTCATCTTCTTCAATGTTGACTCCAACTAGTAAGCTCTTTGACCAATTAATCCTCAAATTAGACATCCTCTCAGAGAGATCCACAACCACCCTCAAAATTTCCCATTCCCTCCCTACTTCCTCCATCACAAAAAATAAGAATGTCATCTGCAAACTTCAAATGAGTTAATAAAATGTTGTCCCTCCCAACTGACCATCCTTTGAATAACTGCACACCATATGCTCTTGAAATCAATTTACTTAATGCTTCAGCAATCAGGGTAAACAGAAAAGGAGAGAGGAGGCCATCTTGTCGAAGCCCACG